GGTAAGGCCCTTCTACTAGCTGGGAAGGAAGAGGCTAGGTCTGGATCTCTGAGGGTTCTTCTCACCACTACCAGGCAGCACATTTGCCCCAGCCTCCCCCACTTTCCAGAATGGGGAAATGGCCTCATGAGTGGGCTGGTGTTTCTGAAGCTGACCTTTACCCTCTCTGGAGCTCAGAGCCTGTGCCTAATTTCCCAGTGCTCAGCATTTAGGATGTCAGGGTCTGGACTCAGCCTCCTGCCTCAGTGGCCAGTACAAACCCCTGAGGGGCTGGGACCAACCCTGGGCTTGAGTCATCCTTTCTCTACCCTATGGGTTGGGAGGAGGTTTCCAGGCAGCTGGAGACAAAACAGGCCGTGTCAGCAGTCTTCTGCTGCCTCCTCAGCACTCGAGTTGGGAGCTGGAGAGGGGGAAGTGAGGTGGGGGACGTGGGGGGAGAGCGGACAAGGACAGCGGCTTCCTACACAGAGCTGCCCGGGATCCTCTGCCGGGACTCCCACCTGCCAGTCCCAGCTCCGAGACGCCTCCTCTCAAGCACGTGCACAAATGCTGTGTGTTCTCCTGCCTCAGGCCAAAGATTGGGTCCATGTGTTCCCTGGAGGTCAAGCTGATCAAGAATGGGTGGAGGTCGAAGCTGAGGGTGGTGGCTAGCCAGCGTGCCTGGAGGTGACACGGGCGGTGGGGAGCCGGCCACCCAGCCTCTGCCTGGCACAGCACAGCGTGTACTTTCAGGCTCACCAGGCTTAGCTTAGTGACAGTGTCCTCGGGAAACCAAGGGCCAGCGACAGCCCTGGGCTGGAGCAAACAGAGGGACTAGCGAGGTTCCCGCGGGACTGGTCTCTGAGGGGAGGGAGGAGGAGGAGTGTGAGCCCACCCTTTTGTGCTGGGAGTCAGGTTTCCCCTGGACTGTCCCTCTCCTGCTCCTTGCTGCTGCCCTCTTCAGAGAGCGCTCCCGGAATGGCTTGAGGACAAGCAGGCTTCCCTTCTCCTGCTCTTGCCTGGTGTGGGTCTGGAAAGCCTGTGCAGCCCCCAGCCCGCCTGCGTGCATACACTAAAGCACACGCTCCGCCTGCCGGGCTAAGTGGTGGGCGCCAGGCTGGGGGCTTTTGGTGCCCATTTCAGCAGAAGGCTCCTAAGCACCAGAGGCTGAGTGCCACCATGCAGATCCATGGCTTCTCGAGCTCCTTCTTACCTGGTAACACTGCCTTCCCTCCTACAGCGGCCTTCCTCACACAGACCGTCTGCTTGGACGACACAACAGTCAAGTTTGAGATCTGGGACACAGCTGGACAGGAGCGGTATCACAGCCTGGCCCCCATGTACTATCGGGGGGCCCAGGCCGCCATCGTGGTCTATGACATCACCAACACAGTAAAGATTTCCCCTTGCTTCTCCATCCTTTGTTCCTGAAATGGGGTGTGGGTGCATTTCCTCTGGTTGGGGGTATCTCACCAGAATCTCTAGGCTGGTGACATCTTAGACACCTTGGCTCTGCCAGCTCCAGCTTCTCTAGTGAGTGGCCCTGGGCAGAATGCCCACTCCTTGTTACTGATTCTCTGGCCCTGTCTCCCCAGGATACGTTTGCACGGGCCAAGAACTGGGTGAAAGAGTTACAGAGGCAGGCCAGCCCCAACATTGTCATCGCACTCGCGGGCAACAAGGCGGACCTGGCCAGCAAGAGAGCCGTGGAGTTCCAGGTGGGGGACGGACCGGACTTGGGGGAGGATGGGCCAGCTCCACCCAGCTTCCCCAGCGTCCCCAGGCGTTTCGAGCTTTGCAAAGGGCTACACTGGGCAGTAGCAGGGAGCTTTTATCTGCTGTCCCCTCAGGGCTCAAGCCTGGACCTAGAGGGATTGTTGGCTGCGGTGGTGGGGTATGTGCATATGGATGGCAGAAGCTTCCACTTATTTTTTTCTGTAAAAGGACTTCTTAATGAAACTTAGTGGAAAGCCAGACTTTTTTTCATGTAATACGTGCACATAGGAAATTGTAAACAGTACAAGAAGATATATAGGATGAAATTTGGGTCTCTAACCCTAGAAACAATCTCCCTCCCCCAGGTTCCTCACAGTTTCTGATCTTTCTGGAAATATGCACATGTGTGTGAATCCCTTTCTTTATATGCTGTATGTTTATTTTTTACCAGTCCCTACCTGATGGACATTTAGGTTGTGTGTAATAGCAAAAGACTGGAAACAGTGCTGCGGTCAGCATCTACATACTTTTGCCCAAATGTGCAAGAGTGTTTGTAGGATAACTTTCTAGCAATATTTCCTAGCCTGGTGATTTTGAAGAGCAGGAAGGCAGAATGGGCCTAGGGAGACCTGAGTAAAACGTCTGCTGATGTGTGTGAGCTGAGAAGTGCTGTACGTGAAGTGGGGAACCCAGAGCAGGAGAGCCCTAGGCCTGAAAACCCCTGCATTGTGTCTGTTGTGTAGAAGGCACTGTGATCAGGGAAGATTTTTATCCTGGGCCCCAGCCCCTGCCAACTGTCAGCGTTTCCCTCCCACCTACTTTCTCACCTCCAAATCAGGAAGCACAAGCCTATGCAGAGGACAACAGTTTGCTGTTCATGGAGACATCAGCAAAGACTGCAATGAACGTGAATGAAATTTTCATGGCAATAGGTAAGTTGCCTCTCCTCCCCTCCCCCACCCAGGGCATATTACTTGCTTCCTGTTCTGCAGTAGATCTGTGGGGTCCTTTCACCAACGGATCTTTTACCATTTTTGATATTTTGATAAAATCGTTTTCACTGGGCTCTCAGATATAAATAGTTCACTTCCAGTGGGTAGTGGGGAGGGTATGGCTCAGTGGTAGAGCTCATGCTTAGCATGCAGAAGGTCCTGGGTTCAATCCCTGTTACCTCCATTAAAAAATAAAGTAATAAGTAAATAAGTAAGTAGTGCACTCCAGAAGTTTCTAAAGCCTGGGCCAAAGTCTTACCATTTCACTTCCTGACCCTTTAGTGTACCGCCCACATAAAACTCTACATATGTCACCATCCCCCCAAACCACTTCTTAAGATTTTTTTTTTTTAGCTCATTTGGCTCTAGAATCATCCTGTGTGGGTTTGAATCCTTGCTCTACCACTTATTAACTCTGTGGTCTTGGGCAAGTTATTTAACCCCTCTTTGCCTTAGCTTCCTGAAAGACCCAGAATGCATCTGGCACATAGAAGCAAAGCCATCAGTGTGTTAGTTATCACTGACAGGGTGGTACCCCTGTGGACTTGGAATAGTATTGGGGTACTCCCACAAACACACACCTTCCCCCTCCCCTCCCAAACAGCTAAGAAGCTTCCCAAGAACGAGCCCCAGAATGCAGCTGGTGCTCCGGGCCGGAACCGAGGCGTGGACCTCCAGGAGAACAACCCAGCCAGCCGGAGCCAGTGCTGCAGCAACTGAGCCCCCCTTGCCTGCCCACTGCCCCCACCTCCTCCGCCTCAACGACCCGACTGGAATCCACTCTAACCAATCGCACTTAACGACTCGGGCCACCACTTGGGGGGCAGGGGGAGGGGTCCACCATGATTTCTCCGTATCATTTTGATCATAGGCCGGAGTGAGTTATTCCACCTGCACCTTTCTGTACAAATACTAATTCAATTTTAAGTCTTAAGTCACTTTTTTAATATATATGATCTGCTCTTCCCACTTCCTGCCCTTTCTACTGCTCTCCCACTCTTCCTCTGCCAGTAGTAGCCACGTGCCCCTGTTCCCCCCCACCCTGTGTATGGGGAGGTGGGAGTTGGAGCAGTTGCCCTTCTTTCCCTCTTGCTGAGTAGCGGGCTCAGCAAGAGCATCCATATCCTTACTGTGTTTGGAGTGTGCTTGGTTCTGGGTGTTGGGGCAGGCCATAGGGGCTCGGGAAGGGAGAGGCAGCTTTTCCCTCAGCTGGCCATCATCAGGCTGCAGCGCCCCCCCTCACCCCCTGACTCACAGCTGGGAGAGAACCCACAGCATTGCCACAGCATTATTGTGACAGCCACGAACCCATTGCCCACAGCCCCCTTCCTCCTCGTCCTTGGTCACCCTGACCTCTGGCTCTGAGCCCTGTTCTGACCAAATCACGATGATGAGTATTTGGGAGTGGGTGGGTAAGGGTGGGAGTGGGAGGGTGTGGAACCAACTTTTTCTGTATTTTGTATTGTATGTTTTCTTCAACATGTAACCAATCAGTATCTTGTCAATATAGTCAGCCGATCGATCGACCTCCTGCTTGTCTTGTCTTTCTCTGACAGAGTTTATCAGACCATATCCTCTCTAGCTTACTTGAAGTTAATTTAAAATGAACCACTAAATCTTGTTAAAGAAAAGTTTTCTTCCTCCTCTCCCTAAAGTGAGAGGATATTTGGTGATTATGGTAACCAAGAGAAAGAGGCCTTTATTGTTACGGACTGTAATGGGGTGGTGTGGGGTAAGAGTGACCTGGGGGTGAATCTTACCAAGTCTGAAGTTGAGGGGCCTGCATTTGCCTCTCCCCTACCCTGTCCAGATTATATTGGGGTGATGTGCAGTCTGTATTTGAAGAGTTGGTCTCTGAACACTAGAAACCATCTCTCTGGGGTTTTTTGATTAGCCTGTACTAGACTGGTGATGGACTGGGTCCTCTCATCCTCTTCCCTCAAGAGGAAGGAACACAGATGACTTCTGCAACTTTGGACTGGTAATAAGGCAGAGACAACAGCCCCATACCAGGTCCAAGCCATCTGGTCCCTGATCTCTCGGGGGCCCTCTGCTGACCTGAAGTCAAATGAGGCTTGGGCCCTTCTGGCCCTCTGCTGCCCTCTGCTGGAGCTGCTGGTCCAGGCAGGGACCTGAGCCGAGTAAAACAGTACCGCCCACCTACCCCCAGCTTCCTTGGGGGCCACCGGGCCTGATTCTTGGTGGATCATCATCTTGAGGTGCCTTTCCTGCCTCTCTGGGCCCTCCTACTACCTTTGTTATACCTCCACCTCTGACCCCCAACCACAAGAAAAGACCATGGACACAGGCTGCTGCTCACTACGGTAGTGGTTTACTAGGTCAGGCTAGGTTGGAACCCTTCTTAGAGCCGCGGCTCCTCAGTCTCGAGGCCGGTCCTGTTTGGGCTTCAGGGGAAGGCAGCTCCCGGCACTGGCCACGGACGCACAGTTGGCCGGAGGGGGTCAGGCAGCAGGTCATGGCGGCGGGATCCAGGTTTGGCGGTAGCGGCATTTGCTGGTGCACCTTCTGCGCCACGCGGAAGCTGCTCCCATCTGGTCTGCAACCCTCCAGCTGCCGCTGGCCGGTCACCATCAGGCATCCACCGTCCACTTGAACGACCAGCTCCTCAGGGGTGAAGCCGTGGGCATACACCTTCATCTGGAAACCCTCCTCCGCATGGACGTTGTCCCGCACAGCTGCCAAATCGTCCGTGAGCTGCTGTACCGGTAGAGTGGCCACAGGGTTCTGTTCAGCGAAGGCTGCGCTGGGACATCGGGATGCCACCTGGCTCCCGTTGGGGAGACTGCTACCGACCCACTGCATCCGAGTGAGCAACTGCTGTTGAAGGGCGCGAGGCTCCGAAGGTAGCGCTCTGACCAAGGACTCCCGGAGAGGAGTCCCTCGAGGCTCCACGCGGCTCTACTCCCACTCGCGTGGCTCCGCTCTGTTAAGGGGCCTCCCTTGGCTTCCCGCGAGGTTCACTTCTGCAGAGCTTGTGGTCAGCAATGCACGCATGTCCCACCTCCACGGGTTAGCAGCCACCCTGGTGTGCCCACTGCTGCTTTTGTCCCGGATCCTGCCCCTTTCTTGGGCCTTTTCCCCATCTCCGTCAGCCCGCGGGCGGCCAGGGCTGTGACCCAAACGGATAAGCCAAAGGAGGCTGGCAGTGCATAAACCTGACCCTGGAGCGGTCACCAGCACAGAGAGGAGATGAGATTGAGGCAATATTCCAAGTATCAGGCCTGGGGGCAAACAGGATTGTCCCCTGAACAGAGCCATCAGAGTATGACTGCGGGGTCATCCATTCTGGGAAGATCCTGCCCTTCTCTGACCACGCCCAATCCTGCGGCACGCTGGGATTGGGAGGTGGACGCGCCTTCCTGGCCCCAGGCTTAATATGGCAGGCTCAGAGCTGTGCTCTGGGACTGCAGAGATAAGGATGTGGGCCCTGCCTGATAGATGCCCACGGGGTAAGGGGAGAGTCCTTCCCATGCACCCTCCTCTGCCTCTACTTCATTCCCACCGCGGTAGCCTTTTTCGTTACTACGGCCATGACTCTGGCGCTCAGTACTTGGTTATAATAAACCCCTTTTGTTAAAGTATAACGTACATAAAAGTGCGCAAAACACACCCGTGTAACCACTTCACAAGTCAAGAAATAGAGCTGCTTGTTGCCTTTTAATCGCCACTGTAGCTGCACTTCTGTGTCTGGAGACGTGGGATAGGGCCAAAGTGGGGAAGGAGGGAGATGTGCAAGAAGCCAACTTGACTACAGGCCCCAGATCAGCATTTCCATCCTCCAGCTTGGGAGGTGATTCCTCGAACAGAAGATTGTTTTCTGGGATGCTTCTCCTTGCCCCAAGTAGGCAGCAATCTTGACTATCCTGGGAGCCTTCGATAGAGTTTACAAGTGAGGAGTCAATCTGGGGTGCTGGCTCGGGACTCACTTAGCTGTCCCGGATCAAGAGACAGGACAGAAAAGTCTGGAAGCTGGAGGCAAAAGGAGCGGCCGCGAAAGACTACAACTCCCATCGTGCTCCGGGGCAGCGACGCCTGCGCACTGAGCGCCGGTTGCCCATGCGGCCCTAGGGCTGGGAGCGCCGAGCCGCGCTCCGCTGCGGGGGAAGCCATGGCGGAACCTTCCCAGTCCTCGACCCCGGCCCCGGCCGCGCAGCCCCGACCCCTTCAGTCCCCAGCCCCTGCCCCAACTCCGACTCCTGCCCTCAGCCCGGCTTCAGCCCCGACTCCAGCTCCCACTTCGGCACCAGCCCCCGCCCCAGCTGCAGCCCCAGCCGGGAGCACAGGGACGGGGGGGCCCGGGGTAGGAAGTGGGGGTACCGGGAGCGGGGGTGATCCGGCTCGACCTGGTCTGAGCCAGCAGCAGCGCGCCAGCCAGAGGAAGGCGCAAGTCCGGGGGCTGCCGCGCGCCAAGAAGCTTGAGAAGCTAGGGGTCTTCTCGGCTTGCAAGGTGGGGGCGGGGCCTGGGCGAGAGGGGGCGGGGCCTGGGGCATCCTCGAACTCGGGTGGGAATGGGGGCAAAGCTCTAGCTGGGGAGTGGCTGCTTGTCCCCTGGTTACAGGGTTATTGACCGATTCTTCTATCTCCAGGCCAATGAAACCTGCAAATGTAATGGCTGGAAGAACCCCAAGCCTCCCACTGCACCCCGCATGGACCTGCAGCAGCCTGCTGCCAACTTAAGCGAGCTGTGCCGCAGCTGTGAGCACCCCTTGGGTAAGGCAGGTAGTGCCCTTGGAGCTGGGATGAGGGAAGGTGCTGCGTCCTGCTTGGACGGGATGACTTAAATGCCACAGAGCTTCATCTCTGAAAGACCGAAAATGCCTCCTAAGGAGGGATTGGACTGGGAGTGTATATGCCCCAACGGATAAGAAAGGAAATCTGCCAGCCCGGAAGAGAGAGGGGCCTCCCAGGGCTGGCATAGAAACAGTCACATTGTTGCTTACACTGGTTGGAGGGACTGAGGGTGTGTCTTGGCTGGCAATGAAGAGGGGCAGGAAGTCCTGTTCATCTCTTCTGTCCATTTTCCCCAACTACCACTTGTCCTTACAGCTGATCATGTGTCCCACTTGGAGAACGTGTCAGAGGATGAGATTAACCGGCTGCTGGGGATGGTGGTGGACGTGGAGAATCTGTTCATGTCTGTTCACAAGGAAGAGGATACAGACACCAAGCAGGTCTATTTCTACCTCTTCAAGGTGAGCTTCCTCCAAGTGAGAGTGTGAGTGGTCGAAGGAAGGAGGCTGGGGCGGGGAGGGGTCTGCAGCTCTGTACTCCGCTGACCTCTATTTCTCCCTCTTCTTCCTTAAGCTCCTGCGGAAATGCATCCTGCAGATGACCCGACCCGTGGTGGAGGGGTCCCTGGGCAGCCCCCCATTTGAGAAACCTAATATTGAACAGGTGAGATGAGGAAAGTGGTAAGAGAATTGGGGGCATCTTGGAGGAGTGGAGAGCCTGTGTTATCCATTCCCCTCAAACTGAGAACAGGGAAGAGGTTCAGAGAAGGAAGGATGCTTTGTGCTAACCTTAGGGTGGGCTTGGAGGAGGGAGAGGGTATAATTTCTCCTCAGAGACAGTCCCAGAGTGAAAGCCCCAGAGAGCCTTGTCTCTGCCCTCAGGAAGCACCTACTTTTGGATAAGAAGCCCCTGCTGGCTGTTCACACCTCCTCCCCTGTTTTGTTCCACTGCCCCCTTCAGGGTGTGCTGAATTTTGTGCAGTACAAGTTTAGTCACCTGGCTCCCCGTGAGCGGCAGACGATGTTTGAGCTCTCAAAGATGTTCCTGCTCTGCCTTAACTACTGGAAGCTTGAGACACCTGCTCAATTTCGGCAGAGGTCTCAGGCGGAGGATGTGGCCACTTATAAGGTCAATTACACCAGGTAGGTCCAGCCAGGGACAGCACAGTGGGGAGGCTTGCAGGCCCAGCCCGGACTCAGTTTCTGCACTCACCACCTCCCCACTCCCGCAGATGGCTCTGTTACTGCCACGTGCCCCAGAGCTGCGATAGCCTCCCCAGGTACGAGACCACTCACGTCTTTGGGCGGAGCCTTCTCCGCTCCATCTTCACCGTTACCCGGCGACAACTACTGGAGAAGTTCCGGGTGGAGAAGGACAAGCTAGTGCCCGAGAAGAGGACCCTCATTCTCACCCACTTCCCCAAGTAAGGCTCGTTTGGGCCTATCAGGATTTTGTACCACATTCACATCCTCCTTGTGGTCCCTTTTCTTCCAGGAAGGCTTCCTGGATTGGTCCCTTCTTTCCCTCCAGGAGCCTTCTGGGATCTGGGCCTCCACCTGGCTGACTTGCGCATGGTCCAGATGCAACTTGCTAGCTATTTGCCTTTGGTGTACTAGTTTGGGGATGGCAGTTAAATGGCCCAGGCGCTAACTCTGCCTCCACCCACACCCCTAATAGATGTGACTAATTGTTTCCCATGGGGTGTGGACACAGCTCAGAATCTTTCCCACCACAGCACTCCAAGAAACCAGAGCTTACACTTGAGGTGAAACAGATTTCCACCCCTCTCCTGGTCATTTCTGTAAGATTTTCCTCTGCTCTGCCATACTTTCTTTTCATTTTAAACCTGGCTCGTTGCTACCCAGTTCAAGAAGCCTTTCCTGACTAACCAATGCCCTCCTGGGCTCCTACCACCAGGTGGGAGTAAGATGAGGCAGGAGAAGGTGGATTCAGAGCCACATTTTGATACTGAGGCCCAGGGTGACTGGGTGCCCTGCCTGGCCACACAGCACAGGATGCCATCTGCTCAGACGCCACCTCCCTGTGCTGTTCCCATGGCACACTGCGCCTCTGGTCTCTGTTCTGGATTGTCCTGCCCTCCTGCCTTCAACAAGGGGCTCCCAGAAGGCAGGATGCTTTGCCTCCCCCTCGTCTGAAGGCAGAGGCTGTCTCTGTTCTTAAGCTCCCAGTTCCCTGAGGGCAGCGTGCCCTCCAGCCCCCCCGATGTCTGGCCCAGGCTGCCTCCTCAGTTGGAGGACAGAGTTGTGGGACAGACTGTCCCCTCCCGCCCCACAGATTCCTGTCCATGTTGGAGGAGGAGATCTATGGGGCAAACTCTCCAATCTGGGAGTCAGGCTTCACCATGCCTCCCTCAGAAGGGACCCAGCTGGTGCCCCGGCCAGGTACGTGCGGGCTCTCTACTTGGCCTTCCTAGTTGAGCTCAGCCCCACTGTGGGGGAGGGACTGCGAATGGCAGCAGTGGGGAAGTGCAGGGGGGCTCAGTTGGGGTTCAGAGAGCCCAGATCCCTTTGCAGGATGCTCCAGCACCTTCAGTCTCCATCTCCTGATTTTTTTGTCTCTCTCTCTCAGCTACTGTCAATGCCGCGGTTGTCCCCAGTGCCCCCATCTTCAGCCCCACCATAGGTGGGAGCAGCAATAGCTCCTTGAGCCTGGATTCTGGAGGGGCTGAGCCCATGCCAGGTGGGTACTTGACTCCGACCTCTGCCACTCATTTCTCCTTCCCCTAACCTCTCTTGTTGTCCCTGGGAAACCTTGCCAACCTCCCTAGCAGGCGAGAAGAGGAAGCTCCCAGAGAACCTGACCCTGGAGGATGCCAAGCGGCTCCGAGTGATGGGCGACATCCCCATGGAGCTAGTCAACGAGGTCATGCTCACCATCACTGATCCCGCTGCCATGCTGGGGCCTGAGGTGGGCGGCCTGGCTTACTGACCAGTAGGGGAGGGGCCTCGCCATCTGAGACCTCGGCTCACCACCCCTTCTCTGGTACCCAGACCAGCCTGCTGTCGGCCAACGCAGCCCGGGATGAGACCGCCCGCCTGGAGGAGCGCCGCGGCATCATCGAGTTCCACGTCATCGGCAACTCACTCACACCCAAGGCCAACCGGCGGGTGTTGCTTTGGCTCGTGGGGCTACAGAATGTCTTCTCCCACCAGCTGCCACGCATGCCCAAGGAGTACATCGCCCGCCTTGTCTTTGACCCGTACGTCCCCCCTCCGGAGAGCCCAACCCCAGGCCACGGCCTTGGCCTCCCCACTGCTCCCCCTGCTTTTCCCTCCAGCCTTGAGGAATTCTTGCTCCTCAGTTCCCAGCACTGGGTACAGCTCAGGTCTCCAGGGCTGTGGGTTTCTGGGAAGCATTTGGGGGACAGGTAGGGACTGTGACCTGACCTCTCTCCCCTCAGGAAGCACAAGACTCTGGCTTTGATCAAGGATGGGCGGGTCATTGGTGGGATCTGCTTCCGCATGTTTCCCACCCAGGGCTTCACGGAGATTGTCTTCTGTGCTGTCACCTCAAACGAGCAGGTCAAGGTGAGTCCAAGCACCTGGTGCCAGCCATGTCCCACCTGCCTCTGCGTCTGGACCAGGTGAGAGCAGCACGGTGTGGTAGCGCAGCTGCCCCCAACCCTTAGCGGCCAGGCAGTTCCTCACAAACCCACAAGGTGGCAGTCGTTCTTTGACAGCTGGATTAAGGAAACACCTGTTGACGAATGGAACCCAAGAATCTGTAACACTTTTATTTTGTTTTCTTCTGGCTTTGTTGAGGTGTGACTGACACGTAGGGCTGTATAAGTGTTAAGGTGTCCAGCATGATGATTTGAGAGACGTACATCATGAAATGATTACCACGATGAGTTTAGTGAACATCTGTCCTCCCACGTAGACACAAAATTAAAGGAAAACGAAAAAAAGATATTTTTTTATTTGTGATGAGAACTCTTCGGATTTACAGTAACAGTTTTAAATGGCCCAGTATTTCCTTCATCATAGGAACATTTACATACGCTAGGGAGTTAAGTTTTATAATATCCCTGTGCTGAGTGATAGTCCTGGCTTTTCTGCCCTTTAATTGTCACAACAGACCCATCATTAGGGTCCCTGGTTGTCCTGTTTTACGTAGCCTGGATCTGCATGGTGCCTCCTTGGTCCTGTCGTGTGTAGGAGACAGAGTGAGTGTGTCTTTGGGATTCAGATGCTGCGATGAGTGGGGCCCTTGTGATTCCCCTTCCTCTTCCCCCCAGTTCCGAGGCCCAGGGAATGGGACCTAGTGGCCTGTGGACCACAGCATACAGGTTAAGTTTGGATCCTGGTCCTCCTGGCTGTGGCTGGCCACCTGACCTTGGACACATTTCCAAACGTAGCTGAGTTTCAGTTTTATTTCCTATAAGATGGAAGTAATGATAGCTGTTAACTTGAGGATTGATCTGTAAAGAACCAAGCACCACACCTGGCCCAGAGTAAGCGCTTAGAAACCCAGCATCCTTCGCTTTTCTCCCCATAAACTCTCCTTCCTTGCTGATCACCTTCCTCCTACCTAACTTGGATCCCCTAGCTATCCCCACCTCCTTTCCAGTCAGCTCCCTCCTCTCCCAGCTGTCCTGAGACCTCTCTAGCCACAGGCCTGACCCCTTCCCCTGGTAAGCCCTTCCCCCTCCCCCACAGGGCTATGGGACTCACCTGATGAACCACCTGAAGGAGTATCACATCAAACACAACATTCTCTACTTCCTCACTTATGCTGACGAGTACGCCATTGGCTACTTCAAAAAACAGGTGACCTTTGCCTCACCCCGTGCTTGTACCCTACCTGGGGACAGGGGGCATTCTGTCCAGCCCCCTGGTGTCCCTTTGTGTCCCCTGTTCCATCCAACACCTGCGGGGAAGTCCTTCATGCCTGTCTTCCTCCCTCCTGCTGCTGCCCCAGGGAAGAAGAAGGTTCTCTTAAAGGGCAGCGGGCAGGCCGGGAGAACTGGGAAGCTCTTGGGGGTGAGTCAGGAGGGGCAGCCGGCCTGCGAACATTCCAGGGACAGATTCAAGTTGGAAAAAAACCTTGCTGATGGGATTGGCCATAACTCTTCACCCACTAGGGCTTCTCCAAGGACATCAAGGTGCCCAAGAGCCGCTACCTGGGCTACATTAAGGACTATGAGGGCGCGACACTGATGGAGTGTGAGCTGAATCCTCGGATCCCCTACACAGAGCTGTCCCACATCATTAAGAAGCAGAAGGAGGTGCGCATGCGTGTGTGTGCACATGTGCTCACATGCACACGCTTGCATCTGTGGGGCTTTTTGTGAACATGCATTTGAGGGTGAACACACGTGTGGGTGTATAATGCATGTGCACATGTGAAGTGGGATGGGCCAGGGTCTTGGTCCTTACTCTGCCTCTTAGGGGAAATTAGGAGGGGCCCTGACTGTGGCCCAGGGAGGGTGGTTGCTGGAGCTGGGGTTGGCCCCTCAGACTTTTCCTTCCCTCAGATCATCAAGAAGCTGATTGAGCGCAAACAGGCCCAGATCCGAAAGGTCTACCCTGGGCTCAGCTGCTTCAAGGAGGGTGTGAGGCAGATCCCTGTGGAGAGCGTCCCCGGCATCAGTGAGCAAGGGTTTTTGCCGGGGAGGGGGTGCATACTGCTGGGGGTGTGGACAGGCATTCTTAGGGGTGTTTTCCCTACTCCCCACTTTGCAGGAGAGACGGGCTGGAAGCCGCTGGGGAAGGACAAGGGGTGAGTTGTGTGGAGGGAGAGGAGGGGGAGGGGGAGGCAGAGGGACCAAGAACCTCAGACTTGGCCTCTCTCCCTGCAGGAAGGAGCTGAAGGATCCGGACCAGCTCTACACGACCCTCAAAAACCTGCTGGCCCAGATCAAGGTGGGGAGACTCCCTTCTGGGAGCCCCCATGCCAGTGGCTGTGGCTTTCTGACCCAGGGTGGGTAGGGGGTGACAGTCACGAGCTGGGTGGGGGCACAGTGGCCCAGCCCCAGCTTGGCTCTCCTCTGCAGTCCCACCCCAGTGCCTGGCCCTTCATGGAGCCGGTGAAGAAGTCGGAGGCCCCAGACTACTACGAGGTCATCCGCTTCCCCATCGGTGAGCACCCTCCGTTGCAACCCCTTCCCTCTGCCCCCACCCCCGCCTGCTGCTGCCTTGCCTGGGCCGCGCAGCCTCTGCAAGGCGGGCCCTTCTCTCCCGCTGCCCCAGACCTGAAGACCATGACCGAGAGGCTGCGCAGCCGCTACTATGTGACCCGGAAGCTCTTTGTGGCCGACCTGCAGCGGGTCATCGCCAACTGCCGCGAGTACAACCCCCCGGAAGCGAGTACTGCCGCTGCGCCAGCGCCCTGGAGAAATTCTTCTACTTTAAGCTCAAGGAGGGCGGGCTCATTGACAAGTAGTGGCTTTGGACCTCGGCCTCCACCTGCAGTGTCTCCTCCTCGGGTTCTCATCTGATTCCTGGGCTGCCCCTGTGCCCAGGTGCCCCTCTGCGTGAGACTCTCCAGCCAAGGGCCCTCGGGCTCCCCCAGGCCTGCAGCTCTGTCCCACCCTTGGGGAGGGGTCTCCTGGGTCTGGGGCCCAGCCTCTCTAGAGTGGCTGGTGGCCCTTAGCCCTGGTCCCCTCCAAGCTGTAGAGTCCTGGAGTCCTGGCCCTGGCCCAGGTCACTGTTTCCGCAATGGCAGGATTGCCAATTTTCTCGAGTGAGGGGGCTTCAGGGGTTGGAAGTTCAACCTGGACTGGAGGAGCCATGCTGCACCCTGCACTGCCCTGTCTGTCCCCCAGGGGTGGGGGGCATGGGGACCATTCATTTCCTGGCATTAATCCCTTGGAGGGAACAATAAAGTTTTGTTTTTTCTCTGTGTGATTATTTCTTCAGTGGAATCCCCAGCCTTAATAGGCCGACCCTGTTCCCCTAATACTGCCTGCAAGCTGGGGCCACCCTTCCCAGCAAGCCTTATGCCTGTCGCACACCCCTGGGGTGATGGGGCCTGCCAGGCTGCAGTCCCTTACTTTTCCCTGCTGGCTGCTCCTGATCCAGACGCCAGGAGTGGCACGCATAGAAATCACCTGGCTGCCTTCACCTGGCTGGACATGGTTACAGCTGACTCCAAAAGGGGCAGGATAGGAGAAGACGAGGTGGTGAAGATTCCACTCCTGGGGGAGGGGCTAGCAGGACCCAGGAAGAAAGTAAGGGTTCCTTGCTGTCAGCAGCATTTCTGTCTGCCACACTGCCTCCACCGCCTCCCCAACCCCCAATGCCCCTCCACCCTGGTCTCTGAAGCTCGTGATGTTTTTCTGAGGGGTAGGGAAGGGAGATTCCTAGGTTGATCTCCGAGGCTGGCTCCTCCCCTCACTTTCAGTTTCCATTTCCTTCTCAGCAGAGCCCAGCAGCATCTGGGCTAACTGAGCCGGCAAGAGACAGGTGTCTGTGGTACTCAGCCTCTCCGTTTGCCCAGACCAGGTTCCCGGTTGGTCCCTCCGTTGCCCTGCCCCACCTCCCTCAAGTGGGATGGAGTCCCGGGCAAAGGGAGTTCCTTAACCAGACTGGGCTGGCCAGAAGTGCGGAGCAGTTCTGACAGGACCCGGGACTGGGAGAGGGCCAGGAGGGCCAGTGGTCTGAGCTCCTGCCATTTCCAGAATGGAGTTGCGATCCTACCAGTGGGAGGTGATCATGCCTGCCCTGGAGGGCAAGAATATCATCATATGGTTGCCCACGGGTGCTGGGAAGACCAGGGCAGCTGCTTATGTGGCCAAGAGGCATCTAGAGACTGTGTATGGAGCCAAGGTGGTTGTACTCGTCAACAGGGTGAGTGATCTGCCCTTCCCTCAGCGGGATCTAAACTCCTTGGGTGCATCTCAGGACCCTCTAGAACTGTGGCCGTCTCTAAGCTCACCTGTCTTTTCGCCCATTCCAGTCCCCAGCCAGGTCCTGGGGGTCACCTTGCCTCCCTCATCCCCCTGCCCCTAATCCACCTTCCTCTCCCCATCTCATTCTCACCCCCAGGTGCATCTGGTGAGCCAGCACTGTGAGGAGTTCAGACGCATGCTGGACCAACGTTGGACCATTACGACCCTGAGTGGGGATATGGGGCCACGAGCCGGCTTTGGCCACCTGGCCCGGAGCCATGACCTGCTCATCTGCACAGCTGAGCTGCTGCAGCAGGCACTGACCAGCCCAGAGGAGGAGGAGCATGTGGAGCTGAACGGTGAGGGCTGAGCACGAAGAAAGTGTGCATCCTCGAGGCACCCTCCCTGCCAAACCAAGGCACCTGTTCTACTAAAGGTGTTGGAACATTTCATGGGATGAGGGGTTCTCCATTCACCAAACCCCAGCATACACCCTAGTAGAAAGAGGCCTGGCTACTGTGCAGGATCTTGGGCAAGTCCCTTCCCCTAGCTGAGCCTCAGTTTCCTAATCTGTAAAATGAAGGTAAATCATCCCTACCTGGCCAGTTCTCTGCAAGCTGTGAAGGGAGGAAAGAATTCTCAGAAGAGTTGTGGGGAAGACGTGAAACAAAGCTTATGGGAGGAAGGGTTTTGCAAACGTAGGTCATAACCTTCCCCCGTGTGCCCCCAGCCTTCTCTCTGCTCGTGGTAGATGAGTGTCACCACACACACAAAGACTCCGTCTACAACATCATCCTGAACCAGTACCTGGAGCATAAACTCCAGAGGACACGGCCCCTGCCACAGGTGCTGGGCCTCACAGCCTCCCCAGGCACTGGCGGGGCCTCCACGCTCGATGGGGCCATTCACCACGTCCTGCAGGTCAGCTTGGCCCCTGTCACCCTCCCACCAGAAACCTCTCTGGTCTGCCCTGCCCTGCCCCATCCCCATCAGCCCTACCCAGGCTCCCCCAGGCAAGGTTTGGGTCCCTTCCCCACCTAAGCTCCAGCCTCGAATGGCTTTTTTTTTTTTTGGTGGGGGAGGAAATTAGGTTTGTGTGTTTATTCTTAGAGGAGGTAATGGGGATTGAACCCAAGACCTCATGCATGCCTCATGTGGGCTAAGCATGCATTCTACTACTTGAGCTATACCCTCCTCCTTGAATGGCTTCTTATTGCACTTATAATAATCTCCAAACTCCACTCTGACTTACAAAGTTCCACCAGATCTAGCCTCTGCCTACCTGCACCTTCCCCATCACTCCCACTATATTCCCCTTCATCTTGAGCATGTCAGTCTTGTTCTCACCTCAGCACCTTTGCACTTGCCATTTCTTCTGCCCTGAATGCCCTTGCCTGGCACTTTACCTGTCTGGCTCTTCTTGTCATTCAGGGATCAGCTTGATATCACCTTTTTAGAGTCTTCCCTGATCACTATGGCACTCTATCCTATCATCTAATTTTATTCTTGTTAGAGCTAGTTAACACCACCTGAAATTCTCTCGTTCTGTGACTCTTTCCTGGTTTATCATCTGTCTCTCCAACTCCAATGTAAGATGCTCTGTAGCCCCAGTAACTAGAACAGCACTGGGCACAGAGAGGGTGAGCAAGAGCTATTTGTGGAATACATGAGTCCCTACTCCCAACGGCCCTGCCTCAGCCCATCCTGCCCCATAGCTCTGCCCATTCTCCCCACAGAACCCCCCACATTCCAGTGAACCCCTCTCTGTTGCCCCAGCTTTGTGCCAACCTGGACACATGGCGCATCATGTCACCCCAGGACTACTGCCCCCAGCTGCAGGAGCTCAGCTGCCAGCCCTGCAAACAGTACGACCTCTGCCACAGGCGCACCCAGGTGCGTGGGAGGTTGGGGGAAGGCTGAGGTGCGAGGGTGGGGTATGGTGTGACGTTAGGGCACCTGGGGTTGAGCTCTAACCCCCACCCTCACTAGCTCTGTGACTTTAGTTTATTTGCTTCTGTCTCTCAGTTTCCATTTCTCCTTCCTGTGAAATGGGGCAGATACAACCCATGTCCACAGCCTGTGCCCTCAGCCTGCTGTTTGGTTTAACTCCAATGCTACTGGGGGCATCCCTCCAAAGCCTGGGCACACCATGGAGTGCTCTGCAAACCATAAAGCTGAGCACTTTGTGCTGACGCTGTTCCAAGCTCTCTCCCACAGAACTGACACTCTCTGGGGTCTGCTAAGACAGGGCTGGACAAGGACTAGACACCACTGTGCTCAAGCCAGAGGTCAAGGGAGCAGACAGAGTGGGAGTTCGGTGCAGGACTCCAGCCAGGACTCCTTCACACCCCAGCCAGCCTCCCTCTGGGACTCCCTCCTCTCCAGCTGGAATGTGCCGCAGTAGTGTTGCGGCTTCACCCGGATATCAGCAACCCCACTGGGTACCCGTCCCCTGCACTGTGTATGGGAACCCCCTCACACCCTCACTCTTCTCCTTCAGGACCCATTTGGGGACATGCTGAAGGAGCTCATGGACCATATCCACGACCATCTGGAGATGCCTGAGTTGAGACGAGACTTCGGGACTCAGACATACGAGCAGCAAGTGGTGGAGAAGAGCCAGACTGGTGAGAAGGGCTGTCTGGGACCCAGCCAGCCTGGGCGGAGCCTTTCGGGGGCGGAGTCTAGGCAGGACGGAGCCCTAGAGGGGCGTGGCCAATCAGGCCCCGTGTCCCCTGCAGCGGCTGAGGCGGGACTCCAGGAGCAGCGAGTATACATGCTTCACCTGCGTCGCTATAACGACGCGCTGCTCATCCACGACACAGTCCGCGCGGTGGATGCACTGGCCATGCTGCGAGATTTCTACGACAGGGAGCGCGCCACTAAGACCCAGATCCTGCATGCCGAGCGCTGGCTGCTGGCGCTGTTTGATGGTGAGGCTCGCAACTGAACTAGAGGTCAGGGGCCAGCCAGGGTACAGGCTCCCACGTGAGTGCCAAAGGTGCCAACAAGGGTACCGGAGCCCTAATTTTCTAATCGAAGTCAAGGCTGTGGATATGACAAAAGATATATGCCTTCATTTATGAAGTTTTGCATAAATGTAAAACTAATTCTAAACTAGATGTAAACTAAGTTAAAAAAAATGTTTCTGACAAAAATTTTAAAAACCAGAGGGGAGAATATAGCTCAAGTGACAGAGTGCATGCTTGGCATGCATGAGGTCCTGGGTTCAATCCCCAGTACCTCCTCTAAAAATAAATATACAAATAAACCTAATTGCTCCCCCCAGAAAAACCAAAAAATTTTTTTAAACCATTTAATTGGGACTGTCCTTGAAATTTTGGGATGTGTGGTACTTTTAAACTGGGAAAGTGAGGTGGTCAGAGAGTGAAATGTAAGGCTAGAGGCCTCAGCACAGGCTGAGGGTCAAGGACCTTTCTGAAGAGGCCTGAGGTTGAGTCAGTCCCGGGTAGCAAAGATTGGCCCGAAAAGGTTCAGGGTCATCCTGGTAGCTGGGTTGAAGAGGGATGCTGGGTAAGGTATGTGAGTAAAGGATGCTACACCATGGGCCCCTGGTGTAAGGCTGTCCAGCCTTCAGGCTAGGTGGGCAGAGGGTGTCCTGAAATGTGTTTTTGGTGCTGTTCAGGGGGAATTAGGCAGGAGAGGTATCATCCTAATTCCAAGGACTCCTGTAATCTGATCTCTGTGAGTCCCTCCCACCCCCACCCCAAGCCCATGCCTTGCCCACCTCCACGCCTGTGTCCTCTGCCTCTGTTTCTCGGGCTTTTCTGGCAGACCACAAGAATCAGCTGAGCCGCCTGGCAGTTCGTGGCCCAGAGAACCCGAAACTGGAGGTGCTGGAACAGATCCTGCAGAAGCAATTCAGGAGCCCTGACAGCCCTCGGGGCATCATCTTCACCCGAACCCGCCAGAGCGCTCACTCCCTCCTGCTCTGGCTCCAGCAGCAGCCGGGCCTGCAGACAGTGGACATCAGGGCCCAGCTGTTGATTGGGGCTGGGAACAACAGCCAGAGCACTCAGATTACCCAGATGACCCAGGTGTGGGCTTTGGGGAAAGGAGCTGAGGGTGGGGCAGGTCCCTAGGGGAGAATGGGAGGGGACAGAGTCTTCAGCACAGAGAGTTGAGGGACTGATTATCTCCAGGCAGAGAGCTGGGGGAGAGAGGTAACACTGAGATCCCCAATGCTGAAGGTCCCCCCAGTCCAGGGGTCTCTGGGGGAAGAGAGGCAGAAGCTTGGGAGTCTGCAGGGAAAGAGGTGAGTGATGTCCTCAGGACAGAGTATCAGGGTCTGGGGTCCTTGCAGGAGAAGAATGGGTCCTGAGAGCTCCTAGAGTAGAGAGGGAGGGACCCTTAGAGGTCCCTAAGGGAGACAGGGGTTAGATGGTCACCTGAGAAGATGAAAAAGGTCCTAGGAGTACTTGGAGATAGAACTGGGGACTCAAGTTTCCTAGGGAAAAGGGCCAAGATTGTGAGTAAAAGGACTGAACCAGGAGAGGCTGGGCTGGCAGAAAGGTAGGCCTGAACCCACCTCATTTACCATCTTCTTTCTCTTCCCCTACTTCAGAGGGACCAGCTGGACGTGATCCACAAGTTTCGGACTGGTACCCTGAACCTCCTGGTGGCCACAAGTGTGGCAGAGGAGGGACTGGACATCCCCCGGTGCAATGTGGTGGTGCGCTATGGGCTCCTGACCAATGAGATCTCCATGGTCCAGGTACCCAAAGCATTCCTCTCCAAAACAACCCTCAAAGATGTTGTGTGGGACCTCAGCCCCGCTCAAGCCTCTCCCCCTTTTCCCTTCCCAGGCAAGGGGCCGTGCCCGGGCCAGCCAAAGTGTATACTCATTTGTAGCAGCCCAAGGCAGTCGGGAGCTGTGGCGGGAGCTGACCAACGAGGCGCTGGAGACTCTGATGGAACGGGCAGTGGCTGCCATTCAGGAGATGGACCAGGCCGAGTACGAGGCCAAGGTCTGTGGGCAACCCATGTGCCCTGGGGGGAAGCGGGCTGAGAGTGCTCTGCCTGGAGGGTCTCTGACTGCACACACGTAAACGCTCCAGGTCCCCCTTCCTCTGGGGGCTTATCTGGCCCACTTGGGAAAGGTTTGAATGGAGAGAAGGTTAGAGGCCAGGGGTGGATCTGCCAGGGCAGGCAATGGCTGTCCTACAAAATGCCTTGGGAGTAAGTGTTGTCCAGGGCTTTTAATTTATCCTCATCACCGGATACTTTGTGTATCTGTGAGAACAGCCTTATAGCCCTTCTGGAACCAGGTCGGGGGGAAACAAAGACATTCACAAAATGAGCCCAGAACCAGGTCTTAAATCTGTTCCCCTGAGGCAGGGTCACCATCATCCAGCCTCATCCAGGAAAGTCCCTGTTTACTTCTGTTGTCCCAGCATCATTATTAATGATGCCTCATGTTATATTCAAAGAAGCTGCTTTGCACAAAACCCTTCAAAGAGGGAGTAAAGATTCAGCAAGAAAGCTTGCCTCCCTCACACAGTTGCCCCCACCCCCATATCATCTTTTTCCACAGAGCTTCTAAAAACTCCAGGGATGGTAGAGGAAAGTCACTTCTGGGTGCCCTTTGTCCCCCTGCGAGCATTCCTAGGGTCAGGTCTCTCGGGCCCCAGCCACGCCAAGTGTCCCATCCCACCCCAGATCCGGGATCTGCAGCGGGCAGCCTTGGTCAAGCGGGCAGCCCAGGCAGTCCAGCGGGAGAGTCGGCAGCGGAAGTTCCTGGCAGAGCACGTGCAGCTCCTCTGCATCAACTGCATGGTGGTTGTGGGCTATGGGAGTGACCTGCGGAAGGTGGAGGGTGCCCACCATGTCAACGTGAACCCCAACTTCTCGTGAGACCTGTGGAAGGGGCTGTCAGGATGGGAGGGAGGGGTATGATGGGGGATTGAGAATCTCTTCCATTCAGACAGTGCTTTGAAGGTTCGGGAGGTTAAAGAGCATTTTAACAAGTACCAAGTGTGCATTTTCACAATAGTCTAATTAGACAGGTTTTATTATCACCTCATTTTACAAGGGAGGAAATAGGCTCAGAGAGGCTAAGTGACTTGCCCAGGCTCCCACAGCCACTAGGTGGTGGAGCAAGAGCTGATATTCAGGACGCCAAATGCTGGCTCCACAGACTGGCCCCTGGTCTTTCCTACTTTGAAGATGTCAAGAAGGGCTAGTTGTCCTCTGCCCTCTTCCATCCATCCATTCATTCAGTATTTATTAGGCACCTACTGTGTGCCAGGCCACTGTGCCAAGGATCCTCACACAGGTTCTCTCATTTGAGGAGGGAGCATTTCAAGTAGGTTTTGAAAGATGTATTGGTTTGGAATGTGGGATAAGTAGAGGCAGGGACGATGCAGCCGGAGTAATCTGGTTCGCTTAAGTGGAAGGGATGGTGAAGGAAGAGATTCTGAAGAAAGACAGACTAGTGGATGGAGGACCTTGGAAGTCAGGCCTGAAAGTTTAGCCTTTATCCTGCAGGCAATGAGGAGTCTAGGATGGATTTTGTGCAAGGGAATGTCAGGGTCAGATTTACATTTTTAAGGAGATCGCTGTGGCAGTTGGTGGAGGGATGATGTAGGTTGGAAATAAGGATGGATGGGATGGAAGGATGGGGCAGGGGAGAGCCATTGGGAAACTGTTGAAATCATCCAGGTGGGTAATGCTGAGGCTTGAACTTGGGCAGAAGTGGGTGCCATGGAGGCAGCACAGGCAGAGGGTAAGGAAGATTGGATTTCCTGGCCCTGGGAAGTCTCTGTGCCTCTTGACAGGCAGAAAGGTCTAAGCCCCAGGTAGAAGCTCAGCAAGCAAGAGGGTATGAGATCTGGGGCTGGGAGGGGTGGGGTCCATGAGGACTGTGGCCACTCCCATTCTTCTCCAGGATCTACTACAACATCTCCCAGAAGCCTGTGGTCATCAACAGAGTTTTCAAAGACTGGAGGCCTGGGGGTACCATTAGCTGCAGGAACTGTGGGGAGGTAAGTGCTGGGGCCATGGCCCTTAGCTCCAGTCTTGAGAGGTCCTCAGTGTGAGAGAGGAGGCCCAGCCTCTGCCATCCGGGTGCCCTCACTGGGATGGGGGAGGCAGCCTTGCCCCAGGAGCCCCCAGTCTGAGAAGAGGAGTTCCACCCCTGCCTTAGGGAGCCCACAGTGTGATAAGGGAGATAACCCTCAGGGTGTGGTGGGAGACAAAGCCCAGCATTCATGGACCCCAACTTGAGAGAAGCCCAGTCTGAGGACAGAGACACAAACTCAGCTGTCTCTGTCCCACCCCAGAACTGGGGTTTGCAGATGATCTACAAGTCAGTGAAGCTGCCAGTCCTCAAAGTCCGTAGCATGCTGCTGGAGACACCACAAGGGCGGGTCCAGGTCAAGAAATGGTCCCTTGTGCCCTTCTCCGTGCCTGAATTCGACTACGTGCTGCACTGTGCAAAGAATCTGGGGGACCTCTCCCTGGACTGACCACCTTGTCACTGCAGTGCCCGACTCAGCCTGTAGGGGGCAGGCGAATCCACAGCAGCAGACTTTCTCTTGGGCAAAGCCTGGGTCCAGTCCCTCCCTCCCTTCAGAGTCAAACAGCTCCCAGATCCAGATCCTGGCTGACCAGTAGCAGAGGAACCTCAGGCACCCAGGCTGGCTTGGACTTCCACACTGTGGAAGCAGCTGGAAAGCCACATGCAACTCATCCTCAGACCCCGCTCACATCAGCACAGACACCTTCATGTGCACTGGATGGAATCAGCAGGCAGGGGAAACTGAGGCAGGAGAATGGCTACGCTGTACTACGAATCACCACAGTTTCCTTTGGCCTTAATTCATTCCCTGTCAAGGCGACTTCTTTCTCTTTCTTTCTTTCTTTCTTTCTTTCTTTCTTTCTTTCTTTCTTTCTTTCTTTCTTTCTTTCTTTTTCTTTCTTTCTTTCTTTCTTTC